GGAACTATAGTCAATACCTTGTAATAGCCTGTAATGAAAAAGAATATGAAAAGGAATATATACATATTAACTGAATCACTATGCTGTACACCAGGAATTAACACAACTTTGTAAACCAACTACACTTCAATGAAAATAAATAAATAGATAGATAGATAGGTCAGTCTACTCCCCTCTACAAATAGGTAAGTAAATATATGGAAAAAAGACTGGAAAGAAATATACCAAAAGGGTTGACATCAGTCATTGCTAGGTGATGAGATTAATTCTTTTTCTTTCGTATACCTCTGTATGGTCCGAATTTTCTACCAAGGGCATATATTAAAATGTGAACACAGTGAGCGTTCTGTTAGTGGGTAGGACTGGGTATCACAAGACACAAAGGAGGCTATTTCGGGCGCGGAGGCAGCTTGCACACAGCATGGGCGCCGGCTGAAGGCGAAGCACATCGCGGTCAGTGGGGAGATCAGTCGTGAAAGTGGGATCGTTGGGGGACACCCTGAGCAGGAAAATGGAGCGAGCACAAAGGCAGGGGATAACGAAGGCTTTTGAAAGACAGGCAGACAGGTTGGGACTTGGTTGTGTAAGCAGTGAGAGGCCTCTGGAGAGTCTTAATCAAAGAACCTGCTAGGAGCGGCGCTTCCGAAAGCTGAGCTGTCAGCTGTGTGCACGGTGGCCTGGGGGCGCGGGGGCGCCGGTGGGGGCCGTCTGGAGCCAGGCTGTCAAACCGGAAGCCGCATCCCCGCTCAAGGTGAAGGAAGCTGGACCAGGTGTAAGAACAGAAGGAAAGGGGTAAATCTGAAAGATGCATCGCTGGAAAAATAGCATTCTTGGTGACTGATTCAGCATGAATCATCCGTGGCGAAGCATCCATGATGACACCAGAGTCTTCATCCGGACGGTTAGAAGAAAATGGTGGTGGTGACAAGGATAGTTGGGAAACAGCTGAATTAGAAGAGAAAATGAGGAGGTCAGTTTGGGACATGAGTTTGAAGTGATGGTGAGACTTTTTAAAAGATGGGATATTTTGACTCTGATGTTTCGGACCCAGGGACATTTTGACTTCAAGGATATTTTGACTTTATGAATACAAATATTTTATTCAAAATTTATACCAACATTTAAAAATGCTTTTCAAGAAGGTTTTTTTTTTTAAAAATCATTTCCACTTCACAGTGTAATTCCTTGATCAATTTTCTGCCTCAGATCAGTAAACTCTTCCCATGTCTTTCATATTTTAACAAAATGGTTTTCCTTGAAGCAGATTATTTTTCACTTGTATTCTGTGATGTTCAGTCCAACCCTGTTTTTGTACATAACAGATAATGTCAGTAACATCTGCCATCTTAGGATCTCTTTTGTGACCACTGCTTCTATTCAGTTTCTTCAGGTCAAATTTTATAGATTTAAACTTCGCCAAGAAAATTTTATTCTTCTTTCAGTTCTTAGTGAATAATGAATGTGAAATGCCATTTGAACTTCTGTCAGTTTTATTTTGTGTTGACAATTTCCTCCAGTATTAAAAGATGGAGCAAATCCAAATACACAGAATCTAGGTGCACAGTGAAGCTCTGGAGTCAGAAGTGTCTTTGGGGGTCAAAAGATTTATTTTCTTGGTTCCATGATTTTATAGGCATTGGCCCAAGGCAGATAATGGTTCTATCCAAGTGTGAGATCAGGCAAAACAGATCCTGGCCTCTGACCCACATGGAGAGTTTGGACAAGCCCCTCATGACTCTGTCTATGCCTCAGCTTCACCATGGAATAGGGGAAGGGAAAGGGAGAGCTGGTACGTGCCCTGTACATCGTAGAAGTCACCTCACCCAGGGCCAGTGAGGATTCTTGAGGAAGTAAGGTGCTGAGGTGGTCTCTGAATGGTTTGCAAAGTGAGGCAAGAGAAGGGGTGTCAGAAGCCCTTCAAGATGATGATTCTAGCTTTGAATTCTCTCCTGAAGGAAATGCAAAAGGATATGGATGAGAAGATGGATGTTTTAATGAATATACAGAACAGCAAGCTGTAAGTGTAACCTGCACCCATCTCTCCTCACCCCTAAAGAACCTCCTCCCTCACTTTGTTAAATGTCCTTGGGGTTCAGAGGATCCCCAGACTCTTCGAGGAGCTGTCTTGGTTTCTCTTGTCCCATGGCTTAGAGTCAAGGCCTTCCGCGGTCACCCATGCTACTGGTTATCTCCTTTCACGTTGGAAATTATCTCCCCGACTCTGCCCCTCCCTGAATCCCCTAATCCCCTTAGAAGAGGAAAGGAGCAGCAAGAACTCAGGCTGATAGGAAAGACGGACACAGACCCACAGCTCCGTCTCAAGAAAAGGGATGGAGCTGAGGGAGCACCGCTCGGTCTTCAAAAGAAGATGATGGCGCTGCAAAAACCGAAAAAGGACCCAGTGGATTCCCTTCACCAGTGTGAGACCTGCTGTGTAAGTGAAGCCCTCCCTCACCCTGCACTGATGCGACACCCCGGACTCCTGTTCTCCCCCGACCTCCCCTGGGCCCTCTCACTCCCTGTAAAGGGACTGGTTCCACTCCTCTCCCAGCCTGGGGTGCCGCCCTAGTCTGCTCTGGGGGCTTGGCCTCTAGGTCTGAGGAGATTCCTAAACCCTGACCAAGTAGGACCCAACCCCAAATGTGCCTGCCCCCCAAGTGCAACTGTACCGTTCTGTCCTTTCCTCTAGCAAGACTCGATGAGGTGCCCAGCAGGCTGGCCATCTTGGACCAGTGAAAAATGACCTTTCTTGTGCTGTTTCTGTCCTCCACAGGAGAAATGTTTGTTGTGTGCCCCAAAGAACAACTACAATCAGGGGTAGGTAGATCCATGCAAGCGCCTTGTCTCAATCGGGTGCCCGGGCCTCCCAAAGGCAGTGTGCCCAGGGTGCATTCCTGGCAAATCTCACCCAGGTTGTGCAGGCGCTGCCATCCCCCCAGCCCCCGCCCCACGCACTCAGTCTTGGAGGATGTGGCACAGGAAGGACTCACTCAGCCCAGCCTGGCGGCTACTGCCCAGAGACCCCATGGAGGGGAGGGTGCCTCTGTAGCTGCTGAGCTGAACCTGCCTCAGACTCCTGACTTTCTCTCCACGCAACAGGACAGTTCTGCACCAGGCCTGGGCACCCTTTTCACCCTTGGCATCTGGATCTGCCTTCTGATTTATCTGTGCTTCAACTCCTGTTTGACGGAGGACATGCTTCCCACCTAGAGCTGAGGCAGGACTGTGGGCAGCTCCGCTCCGGTTCACCTCCCCCGACTCCTTGAGCCTTGGACTCCGTGAGCTGCAAGGCTCGCTGCCCTCACGAATACCACCCTGCCCCGGCTCCCTCCACCCGGAGAGGAAGATCTTCCTTTAAAGCCAAAGTGGGAGTCAGCATTATGAATATCAGCCCCCAGCTTGAGTGTGCGGTGTCACTTCTTTTGGATCAAAATCAGCGTATTTCAGACCCCAACCCTTCCTCGTGCTTCCTGATGGTTTAGTGGAAAATTCTTGGGGTCATCCTTGGGGTCTTTCCCCTCCCCCTCCCCCCATCGCCTCCTGACACTTCCCCCAGTTCTGCAAAAGTCCCAGGTCAAAAGGACTGGCCCTGAAGATATGAGATGCCATTCTGTGTGATCCCAGAATATGTGTGTGTGTGTGTGTGCGCGCGTGTGTGTCCGGGGCGCCCAGTGTGTAGCCAGTACTGCTTCCCTCTGGGGTCTTGTCCCCAAGCAGGACTTGAGGCTCCGCTCCTTGTATGAACTGGATCCCTTTCTTGGATTCTAAGGACCCATCCTCCTTACCTTCTGGAAGGTTTCCTCACCCCTACCCCACCCCTCCTCAAAGAAGACCTAGCCCTTCAGAGACCTTTGAAGGTGGGGATGAGCCATTAACCGCCTACCACTCCACTCTGTCCGGCCCCAGATCTCTCAACTGAGGAAGATGAAGCTTGCCTGCTGGCTTGAAATAAGAGCAAAGATACAGGGAAAACCGTATTTCAGCAAACCTCCCCGCCATGGGTGTGGTTCAGTGAAGGAGGAATTAATGGGGTTCCATATTTTTTTCTCACCAGCTCTTTCTTGTTTCATCTCTTTGCTAAGTTGGCTGCTTCAGCTTTTAGATGGTCCAGCAAATGACCAAGTTCTTTTTTTATTTTTTAAATTTTATATATATATTTTATTGAAGTGTAATCAGTTTACAGTGTTGTGTCAATTTCTGGTGTGCAGCACAATGCTTCAGTCATACATAAGTTACTGCAAGATATTGAATATTGTTCCCTGTACTATATAGTAGAAACTTGTTTACATTATATATATTTTAGTATTTGCAAATCTTGAACTCCCAATTTATCCCTTCCCACTCCCTTTCCCCCTCTAGTAACCATAAGTTTGTTTTCTATGTCTGAGTCTGTTTCTGTTTTGTAAATAAGTTCGTTTGTCTTCTTTTTAGATTCCACCTATAAGTGATAGCATATGGTATTTTTCTTTCTCTTTCTGGCTTACTTCACTTAGAATGATATCCTCCAGTTCCATCCATGTTGCTGCAAATGGCATTATTTTATTTTTTATGGCTGAGTAGTATTCCATTATATAAATATACCACAGCTTCTTTATCCAGTCATCTGTTGATGGACATTTAGGTTGTTTCCATGTCTTGGCTATTGTAAATAATTGATCAAGTTCTTTTTTTTTAATGTATTTTCTTTTTTGATTTTTAATTTTTTTTTGGTGGGGGTAGGTAATTAGGTTTACTTGGCTTTTTATTTTTAGAGGAGGTACTGGGGATTGAACCTAGGACCTCATGCATGCTAAGCATGCGCTCTACTGCTTGAGCTATACCCTCCCCCCCGATCAAGTTCTTAACGTCTACATCATCATGAGCGATGCCTTGGGTGCTTCTGATATACATTTAAAGAACAACCAAAAGCAAAATAAAACACAGGCCTTGCCCTCAAGGAGCTTATAGTTTTAAAGGAGAGATGGTAGACTCGTCTATTAAAAATATGGACCATGTATAAATAAGCACAACCATCATTAGCCGGTGATGAAAGCAGAAGTGGATTGGGGTGGGGGAAGGAGAAGGGTGGGTATAGCCTGCTGTTAGTTTCCTGTTGCAGCTGTAACAGATTACCACACATTTAATGGCATAAGACAACACAAAATTGGGTCAAAATTGGTCTCACTGGGCTACAGTCAAGGTCTTGGCAGGTCTGCATTCCTTCTGGAGACTCAGAGGAGAGTCTTGCCTTTTTCAGATCCCAGAGGCTGCCTGCATTCCCAGCCTCATGGCCTCCTTCCCTCCCCAAAGCCAGCAGTGGCCAGTCAAGTCTGCCTCACTCTGCAACACAGATTCTCCTGCCTCCTGATTCTGCTTTCAAGGACACTTGTGATTTCACTGGGCTCACCTGGGAATCCAGGATGCTCTCCTGGACTTAAGGTCACCTGATGACCAGTCTTGCCCCCCCCTCTGCCATGTAACAGAACATGTTAGCAGGCTCTGGGGATTAGAACATGGGTATCTTTGGGGGCCAATATTCTGCCTACCAAAGGGGACCCTCAAACCTCCAAACGCTTGGGAACACTGCCTCGCTCAGTTCTGTGTTGGAGTGGTTTTAAAATAGGCCCAGAAATTCTCTGAAACTCTTTCAAGAAGAAGCTAATTCCTCTCCCCTTGAGGGAGAGCTAGACATAGTGAAGAACAGAATATGGCAGAAGTGATGATGTCTTCCGAGGCGAAATCATAAAAGGCATGTGGCTTCCGTCTTGCTGTCTCTTGGACGCTTATCCTGGGTAAAGCTCACTGCCATGTGGTGGGCCACCCAAGCGGTCCTAGGGGAAGGGCCGCGTGCCTCCTGCCAAGATGAGAGGAGTCGTCTTCCAGCCCCAGCCAAGCCCAGAGATGACGTAGTCCTGGCCCACATCTTGACTGCAGCCTCACAAGATGACCTTGAACCAGAGCCCAGTTAGATGTCTCTTACACACCTGACCTGCAGAAACTGTGAAATAATAAATGCCTGTTGATTCAAGTCGCTAGATTTGGAGGCTGAGGTTGTCAGGCAGCAGTAGATAACACCAGTGCCAATCTGAAGCACAAAAACAAGGTCGTCAGGGAAACAGCTGCCAGGATCAGCTGAGTGCAAGTGGTTGTGCCCTGCTGATCAAGCCCCCAGGGCTGGGGGCAGTGGTTTCTGCAGTCCCTGTCCCTTAACCCTTCCCAAGCTCCCCTGTGCCCCGGTTCTGTGTCATCCATCGTAGAGGCAACAGAAGGACACCACCGTGTGTTACGGGGCAGGTTTGCCTGGCTGTCACACAGCTGTCATGTCTGTCCTTGGGGATGGACCTTTGGGGAGCCGCAGCCTGTCATTCCTGCTGACACTGCGCGTGGGCCAGCTTTGCTGGTGAGTGTGTGCCTTTTCAGTGGGTCTCAATGTCACCTCATCTGGAAGGAAATCGTACTTAACCTTGTCTCTCCTCCCAAATGCGCTATTCCTGTCCTGTGTGCAGAGCCTCTTGGGGGGCACTTCCCTGACTTGGGGCATCACTTCTGTGTGCTGCAGGACCCACTTCATCAGAGCAAGGTGGCCATCTGCCCAATCGGACTCCTTTCCCTGGAAATTTGAGATTGGAATTTGGTGAGACTCAGCCCCCAGAATTGAGGATTTGTAATCAGGAGATGGGGAGACATCTGCCACCATCAGCCAAAGAAGCAGAGATTGCTGATCTATGGAAAAAGGAAACCACTTTGTGAAGAGAAGAATGAAATGGAGACGCTGAGAGAAGCGGAGACCATGCAGTTCCGGAGAGGGGGATGCAAGAGCCAGTGTCTGGCCCGGCCCTGCTGGCCCCTGCCTTGGCTCAGTGAGAGCCCCTGGGCCCCTGGACCGCAGAGTGGCAGTTACTTACCACCAGACAAGCCTGAACTAGGCCCTGCAGTTAGAAGACCCTCGGAGATTATCTGGTCTGATCTCTTCAACTTATAATGAGGATTCTGGGGCCCAAAGAGGCACAGTGAGGTGCCCTCAGTCACACAGCCCATTTGCAGCAAAGCCAGGACCTGAACCCAGATTTCCTGACTCCTGGGCCAGTGCTCTGTGACTCTCGGGGGCTGCCAGTACTTCCAAGGGCAATGAGATGAGGTAGGACAGACCTCGGGTCAGCTGGGTCTAGACATGAATCAGTGCTGTGGCAGCAGGTAAGTCACTTCACCTCCCTGAGACTCAGTGTTTCCATCTGGAACATGGGGAAAATGACCCTGGTTCTTACGGGTGTAGTGATGTGTATGAGGAAATCAATCAACAGGAAAATATGAGAGTGGTATGGGGACTGGTAACGCAGCACCCCTCCTGTCACTCTGGTGTCTGATTCCCGCGGAGTGATGGGCTCACCCAGCCCACCCACGGGGAACAGGTGCTGTGGCCCCAAGCCCCAACTCAAGCAGTCACCAGAGAACCAAGAGGGTGAGTCACCTGGCAGCAATTAGGTGGGCAGGGCCGGGATGAGGCCGGACTGTGTTATCCATTTCCCTCACTGCCCTGGGCCCTGGCACGGCCGCCCCCCCCCCACACGCCTCCCTTCTCCCAGGTTACAGGCTACAGCCAGCCTCAGAAGGTGGGTGAGGATGGGCTCAGGCGTCTACCTGACAGAGGGGAGCCCCATCCCTACCAGATGCCACAGGTCTGAGTGTATCCGTTTCCATGGCAACGGGCTACCCATCCACCTCCCTAAGGGGGCCACAGAGCCCTCCCTGAACCCCCTTCAGTATTTCAAAGGTGATTTACCCTCCTGTGCCTGTGATCAAGGTGGCTCTGGTTCTTCTCTCTATATCAGGACAAAATGCAGCCAAACACAATCCAAGTCTCAATTCTGGAGATTGTACAGTGAGTCTGAGAGCCCAACCCCAGGTCCAACCACAGGGGACCGAGAAGGTGAAGGACGTGCCCTCAGCAGGTGATGGAGGAGAATGCGGGAGATTCTGCCCACTGGACAGGCTGATACCAATACCAGCTTTTAAACGTGGTGACCGAGGGGGCTTTGTTCTGTTCTGTTTTGTTTTTTATGAGCAATGAATTTGTGAGGCGATGAGCAACTCCAATAATAGTCTAATTTATGCAGTATTTCTGAGGGGCAATTTGGTGATACATATCAGATGCTTTGAAAGATAGGAAAACACTGCAGATGGCCGCCAGGATTTAGCTACAGGGTACTCAACACAGAGTCATTTATGTTTGGAAAAATCAGAAACAACATAAGCGGACACCAGTTGGTTAAGTAAATTATGGCACACCCATAAAATGGAGTGTTCTACTGACATTAAAAATAATTTTAATTTTATTATTTGTTGTTGAACATGGATGTACCTGGAGGTCATCATTCCAAGTGAGGTAAATCAGTCAAATACCTTATGATATAACTTATATGTGGAATCTAAAAAAAAAAAAGACACAAATGAACTTATTTAAAAAACAGAAAGAGACTCATAGACATAGAAAATAAACTTATGGTTAGCAGGGGGGAAGGGAGGAGGGTGGGATAAATTAGGAGTTTGGGATTGGCTGATATAAACTATGATGTACAGAATAGATAAACAATAAGGTCCTACTGTAGAGCAGAGGCAACTATATTCAATGGCTTGGAGTAACCTGTAATGAAAAAGAATATGAAAAAGAACATATATATGTGTGTATAACTGAATCACTATGCTGTACACCAGAAACTAATACAACATTATAAATCAAACAATAAAAATTTAAAAAAGAATAGTATGTTGTTGAAATATATTTGATACCATCAAGAGTTATGAATAATATAAGGTTAAATGAAAAAAAAAGCAAATTATGAAATAGTATTATAGTCCCGTTTTTGGTAAAAATTTTTATGTGTGTGTGTGTGCACACTCACATAGGGAGGCATGCACAAACTGAAAAGACAGGATACACACAAGAATAACAGTGGTTTTCTCTGAGTAGCAGGATTGTGACAATTTATGTCATTCTTTGTACTTAACTATAATTTCTAACTTTTCTATGCATTATTTCTATGCATTATTTGTATAACAAATTTCATATTTTTTCCCCTTATTTTAAGGAAGAGAACGATGGCCCGGGAAGGACCCTTAAGGATGGAGACAAAGTCAGCTGAGATTTCCTGACGTCCTTTCTGATGGAAAGCACCTGGGACCTTTCTGTTTCCTGGGAGTGACCCGTGAAGTCATGCATTGTCCAAATGTTCATCCGGAGAAAGGGGGTGGCTTCATCTCA